TAATAAATAAATAACTATTTATATTAATTATTAAATAAAAATTATTTTGAAGAGTATTAAAAGGAAAAATATATAAAAAATACAACATTTTAAAAATTTTGAGAGACCCCTTGAGTGGATGGATTTAATTTAATTTCAAAGGTTGTGGCGGATATTTGGTTCAATTTACTCTAAAATCACCCTATATATACAAATTAAGCTCCACAAAGAAAAACATGGCAAGATACTAAGATTTTGAGTTGATTTTAGTATTTAAAGTTATTTTAATTGAAAATAACAACACAATAATTAAAACATATTGGAAGAGCTGAAGCAGATTGACTAAGTTGTAATAATTAGCATAATTGACAGACCGAATTCAGAGACCCTTCACGAAGTTGGAAACAGGCTCAAAGCTTGAAAAAAATAGATTTAACTGCCTCAATTTTGTTGATTTTGGCAATACAAAAAAACAAAATAGTTTGCAGTGAATAAATATAGATTATAGTCAACGAAATTATAAAATGCTAATCCGGAATGGGATCCAAACATGAAGCCCCTGAATCAACACATTTTGCAATCAGATTTGGTCATGAAACATTAGATCGATGTTTCTTGTGACTAGATCTAATTATAGAACATCAAATTAATGCTTTTCATGATCAGATCTAATCATGAAACGTCAAATCACATTTCTCGTGATTAGATATGACCACGGAGAGTTAGTTCAACGTTTTTTGCAATTAAATCTAACCATGTTGATGCTAGTTGGCCACAGCCACCCTCTAGCGTCCTCTGATAGTGAAGGAAATTTAACGAGGGAAGGGGAGTGGTAGATGAATAGAAAGAGAAAGGAAATAAAAAAAAACCAGTGAAGGAAACGCCTAGATGACAAGAAGTAAACTCTGTTTCTAACCATAGAACATGCTAGAACAAGTCTATATAGCAAAGAAGTACGGAATCATCAAGTACCGGTAAAAAGGAACAAAATAAAACTGTGTCTTATCGTCTTTATAGATATTGAATCAAGGAAAGGGGGCGAGGGAACAAAAGGTCAAAGAGAAACCAAATAAAGTGCTAAGGAAGGTTCAAAGTACGACAAGAGAAATGAATATATGAGTGAATTGTTATGGTCTTGGTGCCTCAAGGAAGAATCAAAGCAATTGCAATCTAGTGGTAAATTACATCTTTCTTATAATTCGTCATTTAATCTTTCTTTGAAATTTGTTGGCATTTGCAAGGACCGCTACTGATTGTTTTATATTGACTTTTCTAAATGTTTCTGTTCTTCTGGAAACTGATAAGGTCACATGTAACTACCCTGTGGAGGGTATAGAAGAAAAATACCCCACCCTACAGAAAGTCCAGGAGACACCCTGTGGGCATGTCGTGGCAATTAAGAATGAAAACAATGTGAAAAGATTGAAAATTTAGTTCTATCCAATTATAGCGGTTGCACGTTTGACCCTTTGCATCGTCTGTCAAATTTCTAGTTACGTTATTTTCTTTAGTCATGAAATAGTGGCCAATAAGAATTGTTCGTCAAACTATATTGTTTTATAATTGTGTAGGCCTCCATACAAAGCTGAATGTTACTCTAGAACTCAAAAGTACTCTGTCCTAAAGTGTAATTGTAGGTAATTAGATATCATCAAAATGATGAACGTCATACATGAAAACACCTTCTTAATTGAAAGGCATATGATTGTTCTTTCTATGTTCAAAGAATTAAACAACTTCTTCCCTAACTTAAAATGATTTCAAAAAGGGAAATGCTTAAGAATTAAAAAGTTATTTTAAGCAAATTACATATTTTGGCCTCGGATTGTCAAGTGTTGTAAAATTTTCTTTTCTTTAATTCCTTCAATCAGTGACTGAAGGAAGCTGAGATCAGTTCAACTATCAACTAACAGGAGATCCACATGAGGTGTAATTAGCTCTTAAAATTGTTACTAGTTTCGATGCAATACCATCACTATTACCTTAAGTTCATAACCTAAAGCTAAGTTCAATTTTTGGTGAAAGAAGAAAGAAATAGAAGAATTCAAACAGAGAATAAGGACCAAGTCATGACAAGCATGAAACAGATTCAAGCAAGCAAAAGCTTACAGAAAAAGACAGAATAGTGAAAGTGAATATTACCTGTCTCGAGGCCCTGGATTGGCTGATACTTCTGCAGGACTTTGAATAGATAAAAACAGTGAACAAAACGCCTACCAGAGGACAAGATATAAGCTTCCTTGCTAACTATAGAACCTGCTATAATAAGTGTACATAGCAAAGAAATACTGAATCAGGTTCCAGTGAAAGGAAAAAAATAGAACTGTGGCAGAGTGTCATTATTGATATTTGTTAATTCCTACAATAACACTTACAATTGAAGAACAAGACAACCAAAATATCTTAACAAAGCTTCATGATTTGATGACCAGAAACTGAACAAGACAAGCACTTAAGCTAATTTTACAAGTTATGCATTAAACGACCGCATCATGTGTAGCAAAATGTCAACCTAAACCATGCCTAACTGTCTACGACTATGGTGCACTAGAGAGAGAGAGGAGCGTCTGCAGGGTTAATTTCCAAGTCTTTCAAGCATTTGACTTGTAATTCTTCAAGTTCCATTCAAACAAAGTGAATTAAGTCTTCAATGACCATCTCAAAGCTGACAATATTCAATCAAGGAAAAGGGTAGTGGGAAGAAAAGGTCAAAAGAAGCAAACGTCAAAAGATTGAAAATTTAGTTGATCCAATTATGGCAATTGCACATTTGACACTTTGCAGTATCTGTCAAATTTCTAGTTACGTTATTTTCATTAGTCATGTAACAGTGGCCGATGAGAATTGTTTGGTTGTTGATTTGGTGCCTCTTCATCCCTAGAGAGCAGTGGCCAATGAAATAATGGTTTGTACCAAACCTTGACAATTTTTAGTGCACTTTTTCAGTCGCAATCACTGTTAAACTAGTCCCCAGTAATTTCAAATTTTGGGCCACATCGCAGTTGGACTGTGAAATGGAGAAAGAAAAGGAGGCCCGTAAGTTCAGAGTTACATTTCTAGTTGAAGCAGTTCTGGAAAAAGCAGTTCTGGAAAGGCAGTTGACATTCCTTTCAGCTTCGATACTTGTGTAAGAAGAGAGAAATGGAGAGGCTGGGGCAAAATAGCACGAAACCAGACAGGGAAGTATCCAAATTAGCTTGCTCTTTAGACAAAACAATGAGGATATTTTTAAAGTTGGGATGATTGTCTAATAGCTTAATATACTTCAAAGAGCCTTCATTACAAGTCCCGGTCTAGTAAAAGAAAACAGAGATCTGCCAAGAATGAGGAAACAAAACTCTACAAACTTTGTTGAGGCAATCTTTTTGGTGCAAATACAATTGGATTAGCCCGCTGGAAATCATAAACAAGAAACCCAGCAACAATGTACTAGTAAATTCTTTCCACGACAAAAGCAACACAGGACCTGAAGGAGGTGGCTTAAAAAAGTTTAAATCAAAGGCCGAGTGCTCCACCTCCGGAGCTAAACAATCCTCTCAAGCATTCCCTTTGGACTAAAAAGGTATGCTGATCTAAACTCTAAACATAAACAGAAAATGAACATGAGGAGAGGAGCAGTAGACCATTAGCTGCTTCTTCATAAAACATATGTTTAGTTATCTCCCCTTCTTCCACTTTGACACCTTCTGCTCCAACTTCTTCATAGTCTTTCCTGAGAGCAGCATGATCTTCACGGGTTTTTGAGAATTCACTTGCTTTCATTCCTTCACTTGCACACCAATCAATGAAGTCCTGGCCTACACCGGATCAAACTTGTGGTTAATCTGGGAGAAAACCTAGGCCACGACTGTGTTGTTGCCAATAATGCACACACGACATGCTACACCTTAGCGAGATCACCCCCTAGACCATTGTGGTGGGCTGGTTATTGACACCATAGATCTCAAATGGCATTGCGATCAAGCTGCATTTGTGATGCCAAAGAAAGCACAGAATTCCGATTAAAAATCCTAATTGTAGTGAATTTGTTCTCAATCGCAGAAGCAGAAAGGGAACTGCTATTGCAATTACTTTCAATTGGCAATCAAACCTTAAAACCTATTGAAATCTTGAAGGAACAGATGGTTCACAATCATCGAGATAACAAACTAAAGGACTGACGAACAAGATAGATGCTTTTCCGCTGACAGGCTAAACGAAATAATGATAATTGGACCACTTACAGTATATGATTATATTTGAAAATGAAATGCACTAGATATCTACTAAACAATCAAAAAACAGATGTGGCTGCTTGTTTTTTATGGTAGCAATCGGAGCATCTCCCGATTCCCACCACTAATTGAATAGAGATCAATGAAAACAGATGCTTGAAATCAATTAACATAATATAATAAAAATAAAAAGGAGAGATGCTTTTTTGAGTTCATACCATTGTTGTCAGCCAAATGAGGAGAAAGAGAGGCAAACCAGTGGGGCTTCCTGTGCGTAAAGAATGGCTTAAATAGAGACTTGGCATTAGGATGGTCCCACTCCATCGATTCCCACAATTCCTCTGACGATATAACAATTTCCTTAAGAGAATGAGGAGAAGATGGTTGGCCATCATCAAGCGGTGGAAGATACAGAGGCATCCTCTGTAAATTTGGGCAATATCCGACACAAATCTTTTCAAGAGAATCACAAATCATTACTTTATTTGCACTACAAATACTTTCCAGATGCTCTAACAGCCACAGTTCCAATATTTTTAATTTGGGAAGAAGTAATTGGATAGTATGACTATTACTACTACCCATTTCTTCCTCAACTAATTCCATTTCTGATGCTATTATTTCCTCCACTTGGTAACATTCCCAAACACGTAACACCTCCAAATTTTGAAGGTTACTTAGCACCCAAACACACGAGAACAACTTTTTTATTTTTTGACAATCAAATATATTAATTTCTTTGAGAAAAGAAAATACGCCGTTTGGCGTTGCCATAAACCAAGGAAAAAATACCTCTTCGTCAGGGATATCAATAGCACCTTCAACAATATTCAATTGCTGAAGATCGGATGGGAAGTTCACACCAGCTCTGTATATTTCACAACCATTTAATTCAATGGTTTTCTCCGAATTGAGTCCAAAGAAAAGCATTCTTTTATGATGACTCACACGAATCTGATATCGACTAGGCAACTGTCTTCGACCGTGCAAAGCCTGCACATAAGTATTCAATTCATTCAAGGCATAAAACCTAATTTGAAAGAACTCCAGCTTCTTCAACTCACCTATCTCTTCTCCTTTGAGAAATGCATTTCTTACCACCAAGTGTCGCAGGCATGAAAATTTTGACAATATTCCACTGGGGACTTCTTCCTCATCCAAAACAAAATAATTGAGATTTACCAACCTTTCCATCCCATGCGGGAGCTTCTTGATTTTTGTGCCTTTAAGATCAAACTTCTTTAAAGCTTCAAGTTTTGAGAAAGATGGCACCTTTTCTAAAAGAGGGCATTCTCTAACCAATAATACAGTGAGAGCTTCCAATTTAGAAATGGAGCTTGGCAAACTTCTAATAAAATTCCTAGAAAGGTCTAGAACTTTGAGTCCCTTCATTTGCTCAAAGAAACAATCTGGAATACCAGCTACTAAGCAATTGGACAACAATAAAGTTGTGAGCATGTGACATTTTGGTGGTGACATTTCTGATGGAATTTGCAAGAATTCACTTCCCATCAATGAAACCGTTTCTAAATCTTCTGACCATTCTCGTACGTGTGGTATCTCTTGCAATTGCATACCGGCTCTTACTAGCCAATGTAGTTTTGCACTCGTGAGGCGTAGTGCCATGTCTCTCACGAGGTCATGCAACTTCACATGCCCAATAGATTCACCATTACCTAACAAGCAATTATTTTTTAGTTTATTAAGAATGGTATACCCCTGATCAAACTCTGCTTGTTCACTATCCATTTCTTCCACAAGCCCCTCTGCAATCCAAAGTTCTATTAGTCTGAATTCAGAGATATTCCAATCTTCAGGATATAATGCACAACAGAGGAAGCAATGTTGGACTCTTTCATCTTCTAAATGATCGTAACTAAACTTAAGTTTCTGAAATACCCTTTCATCTAACCCATTCACACTTTTTATAGGTCTACTTAATTCATTCAATGCATTTCTCCATTCATGAATGTTACTTATGCCCTTCATACTGCTAGCTACTGTGACTATAGCTAAGGGTAAACCAGCACATTGCTCAACAACAGATTCCACAATTGGTAACAAATCTGGATAATTCAAAACATTTCTACCAATTTTCTCCAAAAACAAACTCCTTGCATCTTGTTCTAAAAGAGTAGGCATTTTAACTTCTCGACAATCTAAATAGCGACACACATCCAACTTCCTAGTTGTTACTACTAACTTGCTCCCGTTAGAAGGCTTGGGGATTCCTACTTCTTCAAGAGATAGTTTGTCCCATAGATCATCTAAAATTAACACATACCTGCCTTTCTGAGTCAACTTTTCATTTAACATCCCTGCCTTTATTGTTTCATCATCGTCGTCAGGAAGGGTAAGTCCCATTGCACGTGAGATGCATTTTTGAATTTTGGAGATGTTCATCTCCTTTGATACGGTGATCCATATCACAATATTGAACTTCTGAGTCTCTTTTAAAAGTTGGTTATTGATGAGCTTCATGATTGTTGTTTTACCCACTCCTCCCATTCCCCAAACACCAATCTTTCCAATACCATCATCCATCAAGCATGTCCAAATTTCTTCCATACAGCTCTTTGCAACTTTCCCAACTAAAGTTGTTGTTGCCAAAGCCTGTCCAATCCACGTAAGCTCATTGACTACCAGACCTTGATCAAACTTACCCTGTTGAAGAAGTTCCTCAACTTCTGCTTTCTTTTTTAAAACATTTTCTATGTGAAATCCACGTGGGATGATACTGCTTTTCACAACTTTTTGTTCAAGCTTTTGTATCTCACCATTTATTCTTTCAACAGTTCCCAACCATAGATGAACTTGTTTCTTGAGTTTCTTACTCGGATGCAGCTCTACCTTCATTCTTAATTCTATGTCTTCCTTCAGGGCATTTAAATACTCCAATTTTCTTTTTAGGTCATTCATGTTTTGGTCATAGCTTCTATGGTTCTTCAAGAGTTTATCAATCTTATTTAGACAAAAATCCATGCTGCACTTCCCTACATAATACCAAATGGTACATCATAATATATTTTGGTAGATATTATCACATAATCATAGCCACTTATAAATGAAATAGACTCGATAAACTTGCAAGTAATATTGGTTTCTTTGATGCATACTTGTGAGGAGCTCATATTAATTAGACAAGTTGGATATGAAAGATGTGAATCAAAATATATTGTTTTTTATAATTGCATAGGCCACTAAAGAGGGAAGAAAATCACTTTAGAAATCAAAAGCATGTCCTAAAGTAAGCAGTGAACAGGGGTTCAAGAACTGGTAATAAATTATTTATTTCTTCCTTTTTTCCTGTAGATAACCATCACGTATTCTTAAATAATTAGAGCATTAATAAAAGAAGGACTAAAAAAAAAAAAGAAAGTCAATTTTCGTTAAGAATAAACATCAAAGACCCAGAAATTAATATTTTTGAACATTACTTCTTTAAAATTTCAATCAAGGATTAATATAATCTATATTTAAGTAAGGAAGCTTGTGAAAACCACAAGCTTGTGATATATCTTTTTGATAAGATAAATAAAACAAGAAACCTAGTGAAAACAACAATATATCCCAAAAAAGACATTTAATAAATAATTACAGGAAAAAATTTAAGAGAGTAGAATGACAATCAAGATACCTCAATTCTGCTTCAAATTATTTGGAAAGAAGAAGACCAAAGCACAATTAAAAAGATCCACAAACCTCCAAGCCTCCTTGCTAATTAACCGCGAACTCTTTTTAAGCAGAAGAAAGAAACTGACATATAATTAACAAGAAAAATTAGTAGTGTTAATAAATTGAAAGCTTTATGTGCAAAAGTCTTCAGATTTAGTCGTGTTAACAGGACAAATTAGACGGAAAAAGAATAGAAGCATGAGAAAAATCCAAAATACTTATATGAAACTTATGGTAAAATGAATTTATGATATAATTAGGTGAACTTTGATTAATTAATTTTACTAGTGATTTAAATATATCGTAAGCATAGACAATTTACCTGATTTGGTGAGACAATGAACTGATACTTCTATCTCAGGATGTCTTTATTAAATTTGAGAAATAAGCACAGTCAAGAAATATATACCAGTAACAAGTAGATGATCTATTTAAGAAAAAAAAAAAAAAGTCCTAATCTTCCGTGGGAAGAGCATTAATGAATTGTGAAGCAAATGTAAAGTTCAAAGTTGCAACTCAATGCAAAGTCATTGCACAAAGTTGAGAGTCACTTTTCCTTGATGCTGTTTGACAATAATGAAAATATGAATTGTCCTTATTGTTTTATGTTTCAGAAGAATGCAAGTAATGACATTGGCTTCGGGGTCACTTCCCTCAAAGCTGCTTTAAAATAGTATAAAGATGAAAGAGTGAGTGTGAATGCTGCTCCATTTTCTTAAAGACACAATAACCTAAGGAAAGTACCCCAGAAGAATATTCCAGGACACAATTTATGTGAAAGAGAAGCTAGGTGCAAATTGAGCAGAAGCAAAGATGATGCAATTAAAGTTCATTCATTGTGTTTGTAGCGATATAAAATATGTAAAAGTTAGAGGCACAAGTGCTTTCTGATGGAATCACCTTTCAGGACGCGGAACTATATCTAATGGTGTAGAGTACTACTTTTAAGATATTTATGTAAAAATTATACTATTCTTTATAACAGATTTCCCATTCAGATGTTCTGTAATTGACTTCCTACATTGATCTGAATTTATAAATTCAACTTGGAAACTAAGAATTAAGTACCTCAGTCTTGAATTCTTTTCTTGTTGTTAAATGGATGTCTATGAAGTGAACTAGATATGTGTGAAACAAATCGATCAAGCAGTGAAATCCAATTGAGTGATCAATTTTAATTTAATTCACCTAACTAATTTCAAGATTCGAGAATGATTTCATTAGAGTACAAAACCAAAACTCATCGTAGACTACATCTACTTTACTCTGTGACACCAATGACCAAAGGACAGAGAAAGCTTCTCTTATCTTTCCCTTTTCTCTTTCTTTGATTTGACCCTGCTGGAGATGGTTTTCAAAAGCGTTGGAAACTTAATTATTGCCTTTATTCCTAATTATGATAATCCAATCACTTGTTGGCATAAACATCTTCAAGTGCCTTCTTTGCTTTCCTTCCCTTCAATCAGCGACTGAAGGAAATTGAGATCAGTCCAACCATCAAGAAAATTCCACTTATAAATTACAAACAGGGCTATTTATATGATTAGGAATTCATCTCATTGGAAAAAAAAATACTCCAAAGTACCACAACTGTACTTGAAAAACCATACTCACTTGACATAGAAAGGGCGACGATTCAAGAGTTGAAGTACATGAATCATATATAAACAATTGATGAAGTAAAAGCGAGATGAGAAACAGAGTGGACCCTTAGCCGCTGCTTCATGAAACATATACTTAGTTATATTCCTTTCTTCCTCTCTGACACCTTCCCCTCCAACTTCCCGCTAGTCTTTCTTGAGAGCAGCAAGATCTTCACAGGTTTTTGAGAATTCACCTGCCTTCATTCCTTCCTTACATGCTAATGAATGAAAGCTTGTTTGGCATACACCTGATGAAACTTGTGGTCAACTTGGGAGGCCACGACTGTGTTGGTGCCAATCATGCACATGTACAGGCATGCTACAACTTAGCAAGATCACCCTCAGATACCATTGTGGCTGGCTACTAATTGATACCATACTTAAAGCTTGAGTTGCATTTGATTGCCTCACCAAATTTAATCACAAATTTAATGTCAAACAATGCACCAAATTTCGATTAAAAATCCGGATTGTGGGGAAGGGACCTGAAATTGCGATTTCTTTCAATTGTCAATCGCAACCTTTAAACCAGTTGGAACCTTGAA